AGTGTCTGCTGTTCTGATGGAGACTGTCCACCTAGACTATGAGTTTCTGCATTCTTGCTGATTAGTTTCTAAGAACTATCTAGTGGATGATCTCTTAGGTGTGGTGCCACCTGCCAGCTTGGGATAGCCCACTCTGTGGATCCTAAGGAGGAACCAACCCTAGGCCTGCCTGCTTCAGAATTGTCCCTCGGGCAACAAACTCGGATCACAGACCCTGTGCCAACTCATGAACTCCACTCTCCATGGGCCTAAAAGCAGAGCCATTCTTATCACTCAGATCCTAACTCATACATTTTCTGCATTCTTAGGGAGCCCAGCCATGAGAGTGCCCAGCCCAAACTATGAGATGGCCACAGCAGTTCAGCGCCTCTGCAAATACGTGTCCTCACCTCGGAAAACCTCTCCACTTCAGCGTTGCTATGATCCTTCTTGCCAGACATCAGCATCAGTTTGTTTAAAAGCTCCTTCAGCTCTTCTGAAGAGTAGTCCCGTGGCTCCTCACGGCCACCATGGTCCTCTCGGAGGATCAGGCGTAGAACTGTATCAGGGGAAACCTGTGAAAGGCCACACATTAGAGGTGGCCACTTTGTGGCAGAAACCCATGGACTTGCAGAGCCTGTTAAGTGTCACCCAGAGCTGTGCCTAGGACTGGGGTTGCTCACCTTCCGGCCTCCTTTGGGGGCCTCAATCACATACATGCCTTTGCTGTTGATTGCGGTGGCCAAGGACAGCGACGAGAGTTCTACAGACCCGTGACTTTCCTTCACTGTTTTCAGCCACTCCAAGTTCCTGGCAGAATCAAGCTGTCGGGACAGAAGGAGAGGTATGGGTTGGGGTCCCGCCAATCTCTTTCTTACTCTTTCTCCTGCGGCCTCCTCCCTCTCTGCTCCACAGAGCAGGCTCCTTTCACTCCTCCCCAGGGTGCAGGACGCAGCTGCCCACCGGCCCCCCTGGCCGGGTCACCTTGTCCAGTGTGCTCCTGATTGTCCTTCTCAGGACCCCTGCCACTCACGGCTGTTGTTTCTGTGCAAAGCTACAGCCACCTTTGTACCTGTGCCTGGCACCCTGACTGGCCTGCACAGGGCACGTGGCCTGCATTTCTGGACTTGTGGTTGAGGGTGAGCAGCCACAGGTCTGGCCAGGTGGTCCACTCTAGAAGCCCTGCCAGGAGGGACGGTGGCTGTCACAGGGCCGGGGAGTGCTGAGTG